AGGATCTAATCCAAGTCCATTACTCCAGACTGGGGTGATGATAGAGATAGAACTACCAACTCTGTTGGTTTTAAAGGAGCTTTTGTGTTGCAGTGCTTCTAACTGAGAGGCTGGCAGTTCAAACCTACCCATGTTTGAACCAGCCGAGCAGCTCCATAGCAGAAGTGCTTGGCTCACAGCATAGAAAACCCTGGGGAGGATTTCTGCTTTGTCACATGGGGTTGCTATGCATTGAAAATCAGTATGACAGCACCTAACAACAGTGGATTTTTAAAAATACATTTGCCTCATGTAACCAAAAAGGTGAACCTTGTACACCCTTCACCATGGAGACTTCGTTGTTGTCAGTTCCTGTTCATAGTGGCCCTATGCACAACAGAATGCAACACTGCCAGGTCCTGTGCCTTCCTCACAATTGCTACATTTGAGCCCATTGCTGTTGCCACTGTGTCAATCCATCTTGTTAGAGGTCTTCCTCCTTTTCGCTGACCCTCCATTTTACCAAGCATGGTGTCTTTCTCCAGGGACTAGACCCTCATGACAAATTGATCAAAGTATGAGAGACAAAGTCTTGCCTTCCTGGTTTCTAAGGAACATTCTGGCTGTGCTTCTTCCAAGACACATTTGTGTGTTCTTCTGGCAGTCCGTAGGATTTTCTGTATTCTTCTCCAATGCCATAATACAAAGGTATCGATTTTTCTATGGTCTCCCTTATTCATTGTCCAACTTTCACATGTATAGGAGGCGATAGAAAATACCATGGCTTGGGTTAGGCGCACCTTAGTGTTCAAACTGACACCTTTGCCCTTGAACACTTTCAAAAGATCTTTCACAGCAGATTTGCCCAATGCAATGTATCATTTAATTTCTTGAGTACTACTTCTGTTAAGTGTTGATTGTGGAGTCGAGCAAAATGAAGTCTTTGGTAACTTCAATCTTTTCTCCATTTATCATGATATTATTTATTGGTCCAGTGGTGAGGATTTGTTTTCTTTACAATGAGGTGCAGTCCATACTGACTGAAAGCTTTAATCTTTGATCGTCATCAGTAAGTATTTCAAGTCCTCCTTGCTTCTAGCAAGCAAGATTGTGTCATCTACATATATTGCAGGTTAATGAGTCTTCCTGTAGTCCTGATACCACAATCTTCATTTAACAACTTCTCAGATGATTTTCTCAGCATACAGATTGAATAAGTATGGTAAAAGATTAACCCTGGTGCACACCTTTCCAGATTTTAAATCATTCGACATCCCCTTCTTCCGTTCTAACAACTGCCTCATGATTTTTACACAATTCCCCATGTGCACAATTAATTGTTCTGGAATACCCATTATTCACAGTGTTATC